CCCCCTGCTTCCACTTCTTAGAATCCCTAGTTTCCTTCAAAGCTCAGCTCAAGATGGCTCCTACAAGAGACATTTTCTGATCCCCTTAGCAGCTAGTGCCTCCCACACCAAATTATCTTGCATTAATTTAGTATAGATGTTATTTAGATCGGTGCCTGGTACATATTAAGTGTTTAATAAAAGCTTGTTGAATAACTGTGGATACGTGTGTATACAAACATACACGCATGTTAGCAATTTAAGCACTTAATATACGTCAGGTACTGTATGTAACTATATACACATATAGATGTATGTATGATGTATACATTTATAGCAATAGTCCAGACAAGAGTTGATTAGGGCTTGTCCAAAGTGGATGGCCATGTGAATGAGGAGAAGGGGATGGCTGTGAGACTAACACAGCAAGTTCATGGCATATAATATGCACTTAATAAAGGTTTGTGAATTGGAAAAGACATTGGATTTGATATTGGAAGACCTGAAGTCAAATCCTAGTCAGGCCATTTATGAGTTCGATAATCTTGGATAAGTCACTCAATTTCTCTTTGGCCTCCATTTCTTCTTCTATCAAAAAAAAAAGATTTGGATTAGATAATTCCTCCAGCTTTCAGCTTTATCTGTGAGTCTCTGGTTGATGCTTTGCTACAACTATGAGTATGGGCGCTTCCACCTTACGCAGGTCAAAGCTCTCTCAAGCTTCACATCCTATAATATTCTCAACATTTACTTGTTAATTCTCTCTAAAATATCTACGGAATTCATTAGAGACTATTCTTCTTTGTTTAGTATTTGACAGTACCAATGTAGTATCTATAGTTTATCCTGTCAACATGATTCAAAACTGAAATTCATCAAAACATATGCACACATTAAAGAATTAAGAACAAATTTTGATTTTAGGGTAACACTTTCAAATTTAGAAGTAATGTCGAAAATAGCCTACACTAAAGCCTTACTCTCATACCTCTTCACCCTGGGTTGGACGAAAGACTATGCCAACAGGAGCACAACATTGGGAAGATTCTACCAATATGGAAAAGTTCCAGGCGCAGTGATGAATTATAAGCCTGTCATCTGAGAAACAGCGCTTATAAATTTACCTTATTTACCAACTCATCATTTTATTTTGTTTACAGACTCTGCAGGTAACAATTGTATAGAGTGGCAGACCTATGCTAACGTTCACCTTCAAAATAATATCACTGCATTTCTTCAAAAATCTCTAGTCAGTTTGCATCAATGGTTGTAGAAGAGATTGTAAGCTCCTTGAGTGCAGGGACTGTCTTTTGCCTCCTTTTCTATCTCCAATGCTTATCACAGTTCCTGGAACACAGTAGGTGCTTAATGAGTTTTTATTGATTTATAAATTCAGGAAGACTCTTCAACAGAAGGTTAACTATTAGGCAATAATCATTGCCTAATCGTCTTTGGCCAAGGCAACTCACAATGGTTTGCCATCTGTTTAGGCAAATTTGCATCAGTGGAAGGAATGCCAACACAGATGAAATCACAGATCCTTTGAAGTATGTGAGAAAAATAAATCTGGAAGGAATTTTGTAGATTATATCTTTGAATCTCCTTATGGCAGGCAGCTAGATACAGTAGATAGAGTGCTGGACCTGGAGTCAGATGAGTTCAAATCCTCTCTTAGACACTCATTAGCTGTGTGACTCAGGGCAAGTCACTTAACCTTTTTCAGAATCAGTTTACTCATTTGCAAAATGAGAACAATAATAGCCTTTACCTCACAGGGTTGTTGAGAGGATCAAATAGGGGCATCTAGGTGGCGTAGTGCATAGAGCACCAGCCCTTGGGTCAGGAGGACTTGAGTTCAAATCCAGCCTCAGACACTTGACACTGACTAGCTGTGTGATCCTGGACAAGTCACTTAACCCCACTGCCCAGTCAAAAAAAAGAGAGGGAGAGAGAGGATCAAATGAGTCAACATGTAAAGTGCTTTGTAAACCTTAAAGTGATGTATAAATACTGAATATTATTATTATTGTGCAGATGAGGGCCCTGAAGCTTAGAGAGGTAAAATAGCTACCTTGAGGGCATACAGGTAGACTCAAACACAAGACTGTTAAGTCCAAGTTCACTGTTCTTCATGCTGAATCCTGTCAAAAATGGATTGTTTTGTTTATGATGTGTGGTTTTGAGGCCAGGCCAATCATCAATAGAACTGATGAATCAATAAACATTTATTAAGTGACTACTATGTGCTGGAGATACAAAAAAAGGCAAAAGACTACCTCTGCCCTCGAGGAGCTTACAATCGAAGGGCAGAAATCTCTTCTATAAGCATTGCTGCAAAATGGCTGTAGCGATGTTTGAAGAAATATAGTGATATTATTTTGACTGTTAACACCTAGCCCAGGTCTGCAGTTCTACACAGTTCTTACCTGCAAACTCTATAAACAAAATAAAACAATGAGCTGGTAAATTTTCACTTTTTGTAGACACTTCTATTTAATGTAGTTACTACATGTGCCTCATGTAGCATATCTTAGCAGAAGTAAAGTTCTCACAGCTTATACAATAAAAAGTTGGTAACCTTTCTTTTAGTAGTTCTGAATTAAAATATTTTGAAAATTCCCTTCTCTTCATCTTCATCATTGGATCCCCCTTACATGTGTGACATACAATGAAACTAAAAGTGCCTAGCAGTGTGGCTTGTAACAGGGTGACCAAATTCAACGTCTCAGGAGAAATGAAAAAGGGATTCATGGACTCCTCAAACAAAGTAAATATCAAAGAGTGTCAAATCAGGGGTATCTCATTCCCATGCATAGCTTTACTTGCTTCTAGCTACATAAATTATCAGTCAGCCAACATCTGTTCTGAGTACCTGCATAATGAAAAGCAATGAGCTAGGCTAGTTAGGAGGAATCTAAATGAATTGCCAGGCACTGGCCCTGACCTTAAACAGTTTACAGATTAACTGGGAGGGCAGACTAAGTTGCTTCTCAAATCTCTCTGTTCAGCTCTAAACTGCACATACCTCCAAGTCACTTTGTCTCCAACTGCCTATTGGACAAATTAACTGGATGTCTGGAAGACATTGTAAACAACAATCCTCCCAGTCACCCAGGCTCACAACAAAAGTGTCATCCCTGATGCTTAGTCTTTCTCACTCTTCATATCCAATCTGTAGCCTGCCAATTTTACCTTCACAACATATCTCATAATTGGAAATTGAGGGGATGCTCATCAATTGGAGAACAGCTGAACAAGTCATGATATATTAATGTAATGGAATACTATTATGCTATGAAAAATGATGAGCAGGAAGACTTCAGAAAAATCAAGAAAGACTTAACATAAAGTGATGCAAAGTGAATTGAGCAAAACCAGGAGAACGTTGTACACAGTAACAGCAACGTTGTGTAGTGATCGACTATGAATGACTTAGCTCTTCTCAGCAATACAATGATCCAAGACAATTCCAAAGGACTCATGATGGAAAGTGCTCTCCATATCTAGAGAAAGAACTGATGGAGTCTGAATGCAGAACAAAGCATACAATTTTTCACTTTCTATGGTTTTTTTTTCATGTTTTTCACGGTTTTTTTTTCCTTTTGGTATATTTCTTCTTTCACAACATACCTAATATCAAAAGTTGTTTTACATGATTGAACATAGGTAACATATCAAATCGATTACTGTTTTAGGGAGGTAAGAGGAGAGGGAGGGAGAAAATTTGAAACTCAATTTTTAAAAAATGAATGTTAAAAATTGTCTTTACATGGAATTGGAAAAAATAAAATACTATTTAAACTCAAAACAATATATAATATCTCTCATATACCTCCTTCTCTCCTCTGACACGGCTATGAAACTGGACAGGCCCTTATCTCCTCCCATCTGGACTATTGCAATAGTCTGCTGGTTGATCTGTCTGCCACTAATTTCTCCCCACTCCAATCCATATCCACTGAGCTGTCAAAGTGATCTTCCGAAAACACAGAACTGACTACATCAACACCCTACTCAATAAACTCCAGTGGCTCCATTACCTCCAGATCAGATGTAAAATCCTCTGATTGGCTTTTAAAACCCTTCCTAAACTGACATTTTCCTACTCTTTCTGGCAGTCTCAATACCTCCCTACACATACTGTGTGATTCAGTGATTCTTTGCACAAGACACTACATTTCCCAACTTCTCATCATTTCACTAGCTGTCCTCCATGTCTGGAGATCTCTCTCTTTCCTCATCCCCTCCTTGGCTTCCCTGGTTTCCTTGGAGTCTCAGCTTAAGCATCATCTTCTGCAAGAAACCTTTTCTCATCCTTCCCTCTGAGACTCTCTCCAATTTATCCATATATTATATAAATATATATATGTGTGTGTATATATGTATGTATGTGTGTATTATATATATCTTGTTTGCACACAGTTGTTTGCTTATTTTCTCATCCACTAGAATGAACTCCTTTAGAACAGTGGCTGTTTTTGTTTGTTTTGTTGTATCCCCAACACTTAAGACAATGACTAACAGACTGACACCAAACCACTATAAAAAACGCAGAAGCAAGTACAAGTAAATATAATAATAACTGGGTAAAGGATCATAGATTATAAAGGCTGGAAAAAGCATTAGAGTTTACCCACTCTGAGCTCATTTTTTTTTTCCAGTCAGAATTTTATTTGGAAACCTCCCTGTGAGTCCTGGCCCCGTGAAACCTAGCACCACTGGAAACATATGTTCAACATGTGCCCAAATCCTGCCATTATCACTAATACCAGGCCACTACAGCAATCCCGAATTTCAAATGATCACATCCAAGGCCTTCTCAGCACTTGACATAATTTAACCCCACAGTGCAACAATCTGCCTACATTGAAGATTAACATATAGCATGGGAAATTGAAAGTTCTTGTTCCAAAAACGTTTGGAATACGTCAAATATTTATAAATAAACATCCAGTGAAGAGAAAAAGGCCAATTCTAATTCATCTTTATACACAGAGCACTAAGGTACTTAGGTAGGGAGGTTGCACGGCTGCCTAGCCGAGCCCAGGAGGCCTCCGCCCCAGCGGGGCCCAGTCTGGCTCCGTCCAGTCCGGTGCAGTGGACACAGGTGGAAGCGTCACGAAGACATTGCGCGTTTACAAGACCTACTGCGGGTCGGACAACTGTCCCCAGTGTCAGGCCATTAGTGGAGGAATTGGGAGGCACGGGGTGGTCAAGACTGGTCTCTGCATCATACTCTGTGGCTTCGGGGGTGGGGGCTACTTGGTGGAGACAATGAGGGCCACGACGAGGCCGTAGAGACCGAGCACCTCGGCGAACACGAGGCCCAGGATCATGCCCACGAAGAGCCGCGGCTGCTGCGCCGTGCGCCGCACCCCCGCGTAGCCCACGGTGCTGACGGCGAGGCCCACGCTCAGGCCGGCCCCCCGCAGCAGGCAACTCTTGAACAGGCTGAGCCCGGCCGTGCGAGAATGGGTGATGAGCGCGGCCACCACCAGCCCGCAGATCGCGACGATGCCCGCTATGACCACGGGGACGATGGACTTCACGATAAGCCGGGGTCGCCCTGCGCACATGGCTGCGATCCCGGCGCTGCTTTTCGCCGTGCCGTAGGCTGCACCGAGAGCGCTGAAGACCATGGCAGCCGAGGCGCCCAGGACGGCCAAGAAGGACGCGTGTGCTACACTGTAGTACGTGTCGGCCTGGGGTCGGAGACTGGAAGGAGAACGGCCCAAGGGCTGAGAGGCCCGGGCGCGGGGCTTGTGGGCGGGTAGGCCGGTGGGAGGGAGACACGGGCGTTTGAAGGTCCCCAGAGCAGGCCCGACCGGCCCCTCCCGCCCCGGTAAGGCCCTTCCACCGCCCCGGGGATCTCCTTCCACCGCCCCGGGGATCTCCTTCCACCGCCCCGGGGATCTCCTTCCACCTCCCCGGGGATCTCTTTCCACCTCCCCGGGGATCTCTTTCCACAGCCAGTCTGACAAGTGGTCACTGCTTGAACTGTTCTGTTAAAAGTGAGTGACTTCATCCTTCTCAAGTAGCACCTTCCATTTTCAAATAATTCTAATTTTTAGTTCTTTATATTGATACCGAATCTATTTGCAGTTTCCACTAATTGGTCTGTGGAGCGCCACAGAACAGAATTATCTTTTTTCTCTACGTGACAGAAGAAATCAATCATTTTTCTCCTAGGTCTTCTCTTCTCAAGGCTAAACATCCGCAGGTTCTTTTAATTTCCCTTTGTGTTATATCTTGGACATCATCTCGGTCCCCTCCTTCAGTAATGACCCATTTATCAAATTCCTCCCAGAAATTTGGTGCCAAGAATTATAGTACTAAGAATAGGTAATATTTACATGGAATTTAACATTTTATTCAATGTTTTTCTCACCACTCTTATGTGTGGTACTGTGGAAAGAACTTGGAATTAGAGGGCCTGGGTTTGTATCCCAGCCCTGCTACATACCAGCTCTGTGACCCTAGACAAGTCGTTTCATTTCTTTAGGCCTCAAGTTTTCTTTTCTATAAAATGAGAAGATGGGACTAGATGGAGTCTGAGGTCTCTTTTAGCTCTAAATGTATTATCCTAGCTAGGAAATTCAAATATCAATTTTTTTTAAATAGGCAAAACTCAAAAATTCTAAGTGACTTGTCTGTTGTCATGGGGAATTGGACACAGTGCTCCATATGTGATCCAATGAGCACAAAATAGAATGGGATGATTGGTTTGCACAATGTGGACAGCATGCTCTTTTTTTAATGCAGTCTCAGTTGCAATGAGAGGTGATGTGGCAAAATGGGTAGAGGGTTTGCTATGGAGTTGGGATGATCTTGGTTTAAATCCTGTCTCTGACCATATGATCATAGGTTAGTCAGTTTACTTCCTCTTAATGACCGTAGGCAATCCTATAAATTATAGAGGAGTTGCCAGTAGGGGGGAAAAGTTCTCTATACCAATGAAATCACTGGTCTGGACCTCCCGAAAGTATTCATTTTTTGTTACGGTTTGTTTGTTTAGCAGCCACACCATTACTTTTGGCTCATACTAAATTTGTGATAATAGGAATTCCTGGATCTTTTTTGACATAAACTTCATCAGACTCAAATCACCATCATCCAAAAGTTGAGTTTCTCTTTAGCCCAAATGCCAAACTTTACACATACAGCATTCATGGAATACATTGAATTTGAATTTCATCATATCAGTTTCCAGCTGTTTCCAATGTTCCATCTAGTTGAGCTTTAAATCTTTCTTCTCTCACTTTTGGAACTGGTTATCCCTCCCAGCCTTGTGTCATCTGAAGATGTATGTCTTCTATGTCCTCATCAACTTACTGATAAAAATGTTGAATAACCCAATGTCAAGTCACACTCCTTCAGGATACCACCACTAGAGACTCTCCCATTTGACAGCAGAGGCATTGATCAATCACTGGGTAATTTTTCAAACAGCTACAAGTCTTTCTAATAGTTCTACCCTGAGCTCATATTTTATCATCTTACTACAAGGGTATCATGGGACATTATGTCAGATACTTCGCTGAAATCAAGATAGACTCAGAGAAGTTTAGAACTGGAAGGGACATAGAAGTCATCTAATAAAATCCTCTCACTGTGTCCACTGAATGCAGTGGTGATGGAATTCTGACTAATGGCAGGATCACGCTTGGATGGGGAGTCATCAAAAAAGTCTTTACAGAGCAGATGAGTTTTGAAGCAGCTTTTAAAGGATGTGCAGAGAGAATGAGGGGAGGTGGGAGTGATCAGAAACAAAATAAGAAAAATGAAGCTAGAAAAAAAGATTTCCAAATTAGTTTGCTCTTATTTAGACAAAAGGTAATCTAATAAGAGAGTGATATGCAGAGAAAAGATGTAGGTGAGTATAAGGCAATATAGTGTATGGAAAAACAGTGAACTGAGGAGTCAGGAGATATGGGTCTAGTAGCCTATCTTCTCTCCCACCATTTATTGTGCAATCTTGGGGAAATAAGATTCAGTCTTCTTTAAGCTTCAGTTTCTCCCTCTGTACAGTTAAAGAATTAGATGAAATTCTATGATTCTCTAATTCTATGATTCTTTAATTGCACAAAATTGAATAAAAGTCTATGATTCTGTGTGAGCTGTTGGTTAGGACAGTTTTCTCTGTAAGAGTAATGGTTTGTGGGGGGAAAAACACAGGCGAGGGAGTTAAATTGCTAGGGGTTGATAAGCCAATTACTTTGGTTGGAGAAGAGATTCTGAGGGGAAAAAAGGTTAGCAAGATTTACAGAGTCATAGAATAGCAGAACATGAAAGGACCCATGGAGGCCACTAAATCCAACTCTCTCCTTTGATAGATGAAACTGAATGGGGGGGGCAGCGAGAAGTCTGTATTTGATGGAGGATTTTGAAAGCCAGACTGATGAATCTGGGTTTTACTTTTTTTCTGTATTTTCTACGATGGTTGTACTGACTGTGCCACTATTAACTAGCATGCGTGGGTGGACACTGAAAACAAAGGAAAAAAATACATGACCAGTGAGTGGTCTTTCCAGCATTTTGTAACTAGGAGGATGAGCAGGCTGCTTCCTTGTATTCCTTTCAGAAAGTAGCTCTAACCACTGGGACAATTATAAATGTTGGAAATCTGTCTGGAATCAGTACGGGGGAGGGGGGAGTCAGAGACAAACAGGTAATGGGGCCACCTATCAAGGGGTGCATCAGGCATCTTAGCAGAGATAGAAACAAAGTATGATATCACTTAACTTGAATTCTGCTCTGCTAATCCGGGAGCTTATTTACTTTCAAAGTCCAAGAAGAAAAGAAGTCAGGCAGTCTTCCCTGGGTGCTAAATGCTGCTTGTTCTACCCATGAAGGAAGCAGTGGGCCTGGATTGCTGAATCAAACACTTCACTTCCCTTTTCCTCTCAGGGAAGTGAGGAAGTGAGAGAATGACTCCGAAACTTGGACATAGGAGTAATTGCTTATATTTAGTCACTTACAGCTAGGGGATCCCCTCTTTTCAGACTGTCTCCATTGCCACCCATAATAAGGAAAGGAAAATGGCTGCTGTCTCACTACCCTAAACACTTTTTTCCTCCTATTTTTAATCTCCTTTTGACCAGTTTTGACAGCCAGTACAAGACTTTTGAACAGGCAGAGGAGACTGTGGACACAAGATTACAGGATCAGAGATTTAGAAAGGTGGAAGGGGGGAGCTTAGAGGTATCTAGTTCAATTCCCTCATTTTAAAGATGAGGAAACTGAGGCCCAGAGAGGTTAAACAACTTGCCCATGGTCACACAGGTCGTAAGTAGAGTCTGGATTTGAACCTAGGTCCTCTGACTCCAAGTCCCATATTGTTGTTTTTTGTTCATTTTTCTTTGCTGCTACGCCATCCACATGGTGACCGAGCAGGTGCCTTTCAAGATATTGACACAATAGAATGTATAATTTTGAAGTCAGAAGCATTTTTAATTTTTATTTAGTATTTTATTTTTCCCCAGTTACAGGTAAAAACAATTTTAACATTCATCTTTTGAGTTCCATATTCTCTGTCTCCTCTCCCCATCCCCATCATTGAGAAGGCAAGCAATTTGATATAATACATGTATAGTCATGCAAAACACTTCTATAATAGTAATGTTGCAAAAGACTAACTACATTTTTCTCTACCCTATCCTCCCTCCACCCCATTTATTTTATTCTCTACTATCACCCTGTCTCTCCTCAAAAGTGGTTTGCTTCTGACTACCCCTTCCCCTAATCTGCCCTTCCTCCTATCGGCCCCCTCCTCTTATCCTCTTCTGCCCTACGTTCCTGTAGGGTAAGATAGAGTTCTATACCCAAGTGAGTGTGTGTTGTTACTTCTTTGAGCCAATTCTGATGAGAGTAAGGTTTACTCACTCGCTCTCACCTCCCCCCTCTTCCTCTCCACTGTAAAAGCTTTTTCTTGCCTCTTTTATGTGAGCTAATTTACCCCATTCTACCTCTCCCTTTCACTTTCTCCCAATGCATTCCTCTCTCACCCCCCAATTTTATTTCTTAGATACCTATTCATATTCAACTCACCCTGTGCCCTCTGTCTATATATCTATATCTATATCTATCTATCTATCTATCTATCTATCTATCTATCTATCTACTCCCTCCAACTATCCTAATAATGAGAAAGTTCTTATGAGTTACAAATAAATCTTTCCATGTAGGAATGTAAACAGTTTAACTTTAATAAGTTGCTTATGATTTCTCTTTCCTGTTTAACTTTACATGCTTCTCTTGAGTCTTATATTGGAAAGTCAAATTTTCTACTTAGCTCTGGTCTTTTCTCAAGAATGCATGAAATTCCTCTATCTCACTGAATGTCCATTTTTTTCCCCTGAAGAATTATACTCAGTTTTGCCAGGTAAGTAATTCTTGGTTGCAATCCTGGCTCCTTTGCCCTCTGGAATATCATAATCCAACCCCTCTAATCCTTTGATGTAGAAGCTGCTAAATCTTGTGTTATTCTGACTGTGGCTTCACGATATTTGAATTGTTTCTTTCTGGCTGCTTGCAATATTTTCTCCTTTACCTGGGAACTCTGGAATTTGGCTATAACATTCCTGGGAGTTTTCATTTTGGGATTTCTTTCAGGAGGTGGTTGGTGGATTCTTTCCATTTCTATTTAACACTGGTTCTAGAATATCAGAGTAGTTTTCCTTGATAATTTCTTGAAAGATGACATCATGGCTTTCAGGTAGTCCAATAATTTTTAAATGCTCTCTCCTAGATCTATTTTCCAGGTCAGTTGTTTTTTTCCAATGAGATATTTCACATTGTCTTCTATTTTTTCATTCTTTTGGTTTTGTTTTATAATTTCTTGATTTTTCAGTAAGTAATTAGCTTCCATTTACTCCATTCTAATTTTTAAGGAATTATTTTCTTCAGTGAGCTTTTGGGCCTCATTTTCCATTTGGCCAATTCTGCTTTTTAAGGCTTTCTTCTCCTTATTGGCTTTTTGGACCTCTTTTGCCATTTTGTCTAGTCTATTTTTTTAAGGTATTATTTTCTTCAGTATTTTTTGGGTCTCCTTTAGCAAGTTGTTGACTAGTTTTTCATGATTTTCTTCCCTCACTCTCATTTCTCTTCCCAATTTTTTCTCTACTTCTCTTATTTGATTTTCAGAATCCTTTTTGAGTTCTTCCATGGCCTGAGAACAATTCACATTTTTCTTGGAGTCTTTGGATATAGGAACTTTGACTTTGTTGTCTTCTTCTCAATGTGTGTTTCAGTCACCAAAGTAAGTTTCTATTGTCGGAGTTTTTTTTTTCTTCTGTTGTTTTCTCATTTTCCCAGCCTATTACTTGACTTTTTAACTCTTTGTTAATGTAGGGCTCTGCTTCCAATGTGGAGGGCAAACTGCCCCAAGCTTCAGAGGTTTTGTGCAGATGTTTTCAGAGATATTTCTAGGGACTTTTCAGTTCTTCCAAGGTGGTATGATTTAAAGAGAGGTGTTTACTACTTTCCTGGCCTGTGCTCTGGTCTGTGAGTGACCAGCAGCGCTCTTTTCTGCCTGCAACTGTGAGGAGGCTTCTCTCTCCGCTATGCCTGCAAGCTCTGTTATGCTAGTGCTCCCCCTCACCCTGAGACTGCTACTCAGGACCTGGATGGGAGTATGGGCAAAGCAATAAAGTCTTGCCTCA